AAGGAAAACAAGAGGAGGACGGAGGAGGACATGAGGTGAACAAAATGCCAGGTTATGTGCAGGAGTTCTCACAGGCTGGTGTTCAAGTAAAGAGTGGATTTGAGCTAAAAACGAAAAGCTGTCAAAAGTATTGAAAAGAAACACCTTCACAGCCCTCACAGATGTGGGAGTTCTTTTGATTCACTCCCATTTGATGCTGCACTAGTGGCCCATGTCTGTCCAGAAAAAAAAAACATTTCTGCAGCAGCATCGTCTGTGACCTCTGTTGATTTTGACATTGAGTAACAACAAAATCTCTAAGTGCTCCTCAAACCACAGCCATCTTGAAGAACACACTGAAGCTGTGGTAACTCAGTGTCTTGGAAGAATTATTAGGTCCTGAGCAACAAGAATGAAAAGCTACAGACTACAACACAACTGACAGTAGAATAGAACTCAATTCTGCTGCAAAGGCAAAACATTGGAGCTTATGGAATAATGCAATTTATTTAAAGTAAATGTTTATTTAAAAAACAGTAAATATGCAAATATTCACATGTTCATGTGAGGATGTGTTGGTTGTCATGGTTCTGTTGACATGTACAGTATATTTAACTTAGATATTGGTCTGTTTATTCTATGTAGGGCATCTTTGTTGAATATGCTACAGGGCTGGCACATCCTGAATTGCTCAGTGTTCAGATCTTATATCAGAGGGCACTCAGCCAGCAGTCTGGTCAGCAGCCACGCATAAACAAGTGCCTGATCAGCTTGGATTTTTAAGGGGAGTTTGTGATTTCTAATTTGTTGGAGTAGTTTGAAACAACGCAGCCTGAGAATCCATTCTGATAATGTTGAAAAATGAACTTTGTTCACAACTGTGTGAGGATGCAGGAAGGTTTACACCACTGCTGTCACAATTAGAGCCAATGTTGGCAAAACTTGTCATTTGCCAGATTTTTTTCTATAGAATATGAATATACCATATAATATGTATATACCAGCAAGGAACATCGATTCTCCAATAGATCTGGAACAGCTGAGGAGGAAAATACACCATTCAGGTCTCAGTGATACCACGGCAGCAGTCAGTCATTCAATCTCTTTGGCTGAGGCCAAAATAAGAGTTGATAACATAGTCCTGGAGACTGTAAAGTCCTGACACTTCAGCCCCTTTAATATGTGATAACCCCTGGTGAGCAGACCTGCTGACGCCAGCCTCCGCACATACACACACACATGCTGATGCATATCTCCACCGTGCGGTTCATACACACACTCAGATGGAGTTTCAACCCTGCTTTGATGGTCAGAGAGCTGATGCGTCCATCAACTCCGACAATGACATCCATAGCAGATGCCAGTAGTGCTAGAATGTACCAGTAATATAAAGGTTAGCTGTACCACAGCTGAGGAGATAAATGGCCATACTCTGATCCATCAAAACATTATGATGAAAATGTGACATGGTCTCTCTCCGTTTCAAATGTATGAAGAAGGAGCTGTAGATAATGAGTCAGACCAGAGGGTGGTGTAATAGGGTCAGGAGGTCAGAAGAAGAAAAGGGACTGGGACATGTCAGGGCGGTGAAGGGGAAAGAAAGCAAACATGTAAAGGAGAAGAAACTGGGCTAAAGCTCCACGATCGATGACAACCGGAACTTTTGAAAGACAGGACAGGAAGCTTGTCGGTGCCAAACCAGAAAGACCGACAACACAAAGAAAAGGCAACAGAATGTCACCACTTTCAAAACAATTATGTAGCTGCAGCAACACTGACGCGCTCTCATGCCACTTTTCTAACATCAAATATGCAGACGTATAATTTCAAAACTTCTTCCAAAGTAGCATCAAGTTTTCAAAAGAAAAAGAAAAAGATGAGACAAGGAAAAGAAGGAGGCAGGTCAAACAAACGGCACAGAGATGGGAAAAGGGAAGCACAGACAGAAATAGAACAGGAAATTGAACTGAAAAGGATGGAATCCAGACATGAAGTCTGTTCAGTGGCATTTCATTACACTTTAATGCTTCCCCCATTATATTATTCGCTATGTGAGCGCTATTAATTGCTCTTCATCTTTTAGAGACTGAATTTGGAGCAAACTTTCTTCAAAGGGATGAAACCAGTGGAGAATATGGTGCTGCTGTAACAACTGAATCTCCCCGGTCATAAAGTCTTATCTTACTTGCAAATGTAATCGCACCAAATATTAAAAAGAAAAGAAAAGAGTGGTTGTTTTAGGGTTTTTTTTTATAGAAGAGGACAGGTATGTTGGTGTGAAGTTTTAATTTATAGTCTCCACACAAATGCAGTAAAAAACAGAATCAAAATCATCTTCTTTCAGCTTCTCCAATCACAGGTCACCACAGTTGGTCATTCACCTCCATTTCTCTCTATGCCCCTCCTCCCCTACTGATACAACAATCATCTCTATGTGCTCCATCACTACATCCAGAAATCTCCTCTGGTGCCTTTCTGTGTTCCACTGCTCTGACAGCTCCATCTCCAACATCCTTTGTCCAAAATCCCACCTCAGCACACGTCCAAACCATCTCGTCCTTTCCTCTCTAATTCTCCAAACTCCAAACTTTGTTCAATTCCGATCTTGTCCGTCCTGGTCACTCACAGTCAAAATGTCAACATGTTTATTTTGGCCCATTCCAGCCTGGCCCTCAGTCTCGGCCCCCGTACGTCACAGCAGGTCTCACTACTGTCTAACAAACCTGACCTTGTCACCTTCACTGCTACACTTGTCAACACTAACAAAGTTTTTTTTGGATTTGCTCTTGTTTTGATTATCTGACAAGGATAATAAGACGATAAATCAAAGACATTTTTTTATGTAAATTGCCATTCGTGCAACAAGCCAGCATTATTGTACCAGGTTGGAGCAGAGGGTCGCTGAGTCAAGGACGCTATGACAGGCACAACTGATTATACCTTTTTTACATTTATCCATCACAGATGCCAGGTTATTTTCCATATCTGCATGTTTAAAAAGTTTTCCTCAATCTGTTCTCTCCAGCTCTAGAACTCTCAAGACACGTTCTGGATGGAAAACCCTGAATCCCAGGAAAGACAGAAACAATGATTAACAGCAGCAGAGTGAGGCTGGATCAGGGACTTGGTGCTGCAGCAGGTGGGTGGTTATGCAAAATGAATGTCAAGAAGTAACAATGGGGCTTTTGTGGGATGTTTTTCAGCAATCAGATGTAAGCTCTGATGACACCTCCATTATAGTCTAATTTATGCCAAAAAGAAATCTGCACTCGCAAAATCATCACAGATTTTTCATATTAGTGAAAAACCTTCCTCTATATTTTTTTTTTCTAATTATAAAGATTAAATACAGGGTTATTTGTTGAAGTTTGTAACAGGAAATGTGGGAATTTAAATTAATTTGATTTATGTATGTCACTTGAGAGAACCGGGTGATTCATCGCTCTGGGTGAAAGATGTTAATCATAGTTTTGTTGGCCTTAATTGGCTATAAATAATCATTAAAAAATGAAATTAAATATTTAATCCTCACAAGAGACGAGACTTTTTTTCTTGTTTTCATGTTTTATACAATCTCTCCTCTTTTGAACAATGTAACAAGATGGGTCACAATCAGAACATTCTGGCTTTTTACAATTGAACCGCTGCAAAAGTATCACTTCAGGATTGAATTTCTATCTGATTTCTGTGCTTTCAACAGAAGCTGCTTCAATGACTGTCGATCAGAATCCAATCAAATGTGCTGCAGTCTAGAAGAAGAACTTAGACCAATGACTGATGAGAGTAAAACAATGCCAACTATTCCACTCCATTCCACCAGGTGTTCCCTCAGATTTGCAAAGTTGTTTTTTTTAGTAAATAATATGAAGCTGCAGACTGTCTTTAATACAAACCAACCAGTGTATTGGACAAACACCTGTATCTAGGACAGAAAAGAAATAAGTGTCTCATCTGTGGAAAGTGACACCTCGGAGAGTCTCTCCATTGCAGTGAAAGTCAAGTGTCAGGTTTAGTCACTGCAGGAAGATGTGCCTCCTAACAAAGCCCTCAGAGTGCCATACAAACTGCCTGCTTAAGAGGTGTGAGTGAGTGCAGTGACCTGTTAATCCAAGAGAGGCCTGATCACAGTGGACTCCTAAAGAGATGTCGCCGTGTGCAAGTGAAGAGGACAACACGTCTCAGGGAAAATAGGAACAAACAAAAAGTGCGTGATTACAAAAAGAAGTTTGAAATGTACGAATGTTCTTGCGTTTTTTCCGAACAGAAATAAAAAAATAAGCTACTTTCACTTGAGTTCCAGGGCAAATTAGGAAGAAAAGAAAATCACAAAAGATGAAAGTACAGCCTGAAGCAACTGAAAAAAATAGCCCAGAGTAAAAACACATCACATAGTTCCTGCTACACCATACGAATCATCAGCCTTTACACCAACCATCCTCACTGTGTCAGTGCATCTCCTTCTCTTCCTCTTGCTTGGCTGGTCCTTCATTCTCTCTAAGTCCATGTTGAAAACCAGTTCAACTTTGACTGTTTAACTTTAGAGGGAAACACATCACTAACACCTGCCACAGCATCACTGAAAAAAAAAGAACTGAATATGGCCTCAAAAAACACTTCTCTTTTCAGTTGGTTGTAATTGTTCCTAAAATAGACCTTTTCTGAGAACGTAACTCAGCCATTCAGTATAAAACTGTTATAAATGTTTGTCTTTCAAGGTAGCTGTAACTTCAAAGTGAGTGCAGTAATATACAGTAGTAGTCATCACTACAAGAGCCTCGGATCTGTCCTCTTTACCATCATCACCTCAGAGTTTTTTTTATTTTTTATTTTATCACATCAAATTGATAAAATCGAACCTCATATGTTCGACACTCACATCAAATATTAAGTGGAAAAATACGGAGGCAATTTCAGAGCTAACACATCATATAACAGCTGGAGGAAAAACAAAGACGCCCAAAGCATCGCAGATTCTCCACACGAATAAGACCATGACAGAGATACAAAAATCAATCACTCACTGTTCCTGCAGGAGAAAATCCACGTTCTCCGGAGAAATCTGTCCCGTCACAGGGTGGCGAAATGCTGTGGCCCTCTGGTTGTGGCTGAAACGACACAAGGAGGAGAGGGGAGAGACAAAATTAGCCACCTTGGTTGGACTGTAAACACCATGAAAGCATCACGGTGGACCCCACCCCAGCCCGTGCAGCAGACACGAGGCGAGAAGCATCACGGTGGACCCCACCCCAGCCCCGTGTTCACAAGTGCAGCAGACACGAGGCGAGCATTCCCCACAGGAGCAGCAGGATTAGAAGCTCTGTCTCACCTCCACACCCTGATGGGCCTTCACCCATGACTTTGCCAGTCTGGTGTAGAATGTGAGGGGGGTCACTGCACTGCCCTCCCCCCCTCCATCCCACAACAACCAACCCACGGCCTGTGTGGATGAAACTGTCAGACTCAGCACAAAAAGCTGGACAGTTCAGCCCTGGGCCTCCTTCAGTTCCAGACCCAGTTCTTTAGTCGCTCTAATCCACAGCCAGAGAGTACGAGCACTTGACTGGGTAAACAACACTGGGATCACAGTGTGTCCAATGTGTGTGTGTGCGTCTGTGTGTGGATATAATTAATTGACTGCAATTAAAATGAATGTGTCGTAACGTGACAAACAAACAGACCAGTGAGTGAAGTTTATTTCTACTCACATTTCAAACGTGTTACGTGTGTCTCCATAATCACATGATGGGATCTTTGGTGTTTTCTTCACTTAAACTGTCAGTGTAGAAGATTATTTTAACAAATCATTTAACTGTGAACATTTTTACAGCTTCCAAACAAAGGTCTGTTTATTCAACGTTCATTTTCACAGAGAGACTGGATTTGTAAGGATTCTGACACAGCTGCAAAACTGATCAGATCTGGTTCATTCTTCTCTGACACCTAGTTCTACAGACGTCGTCTGCTTTTCTTCTCTGACACCTAGTTCTACAGACGACGTCTGCTTTGTATCTGCTGTGAAGTATCTACATTTTATTACTGCATTGGATTAATTAGTTCTATAAACCTGATCAACCCAGTTTATATGACTCCCATGAACATAAACATGAAGAATAAAGTAGTAAGAAGATTCTTGAACAAACATCTTGACTCTAAGGGTTTCTCTTAAGGCAGAAAAAATCTTTTAAGATAAATGATTGATTTATTGAAGTATCAGAAAACATTCATCAATCGATTACAATGCCGATTTAAAATAGGGTCAGACGAGGTCACAGCTAATAAAATGCAGGACAGATTAGATGTTATAAATAATAAAAAGTTACTAAAACTTTATTTTTTATGACCTGATTATATTTTATATAAAAATGTTTAGACTGAAATGAAGATATGTTGTAATAAAAAGTGTAATTTGATTTTTGTTTCCTCAGCTGTAGAAATAAGAACCCAATTTCCAAAAGAAATCTATTTATTTCATTTTTGCTTTTTGCAAAGACTAACTCGTTGTCCTTCCTGGATTATTAGAAAACCCCTCCGATGGTCCAAGAACCCAGTCAGGAACACGTGAGTTTAATTCATTAACGTGTTCAGTGCTAAGAAGCAGCACCAACGATATTTTTGTCTGTTTGTAGGTCACCTGGTGGAATAATTCCCTGCTGATTCGCCAGCAGAGCAAATCACCAAAGACTTCACGGTTTCCCTGGAGACTGAGTGACATGGCAGCCTGACGGGGACTTAGAGTGTTTATATTTATCTCCCTGCACGAGACCCCTACACACACACACAAACACACATGTCCAGTCAGAGCCTACACTACCTGTGATAATAGGTACTCACTTATGTCAGAGGGAAAATCTTCAACTTCGTTTTGATCTCCCATAAACTGCTCCAACCCCTGACTTCGATCCAATCACATATTCCATCATTAAAACACAAAGGTCTGTAACCGGTGTGTACTCAAAGAAACTGGAGAACCTGTCACCCCTCGGTCATAGTCTCCCTCTGCGTCTGGACCCAGAGAATCATGACGTAGAAGAATGAATGAACTATGTCTGTCATACTCTCGTCATTTTAAAAACTGCTGTCCAAATGATGACCATCTTAGCATGCACAACACAAATTTAAATGTTAAAAAAAACATAAGCATGAAGCATCAATTGTCAACTGCTGGCTATGGGTGAATTTGTTCATGACCAATTTGTCATGATTACATCGTTGTGGAGAGAACAATCTTGTCCAGTGAACACCCTCAAACTCCAACCGTCTTTGCCACATGAGTAACCAAACTAACACAATGTCGTCGGTATATGAGCAGCTACAAAAACACGTGCTGAATGAAATGCAATATGAAGTAGCAAGGAGTAAGAAAAACCTTTACTCTCACACTGGCGAAGAGCAGCGTGGCAGCATCGATGGTGTTAGTCACGCTGACAGGAGTGTGTTCCACGGGACAAAACACACCTAGTGTGGTAGATAATAGCATCCCCCGGGGGGTTCGTCCACTGTTTCAACAGCAACGCCCATGTGGCTCAGGGAATTTATAAACGTCCAGAGAGGATGGATTTATAATTCATCAGCTGTAGGACAAAAAAAAGGAAAACAGTCCACAACCACACACTGGTGAGCACTGAGTTACAGAGCTGCAGCAAATTCA